TTCTTTTCCTTCCCCCAGTGAAAAAGCCTATCATTTCATAGTTAACCGTGCTTCTGGAATTTATTAGCAAGGACAATTTATTAGTAAGAAAAAAATCTTGAATGTAATGGGATAAGAATTAATCATAAAGCTATTTGTATATTTTGTCTTCCTGTGAAGAGTAAGGCTCTGTGGTGCTGCTGATGGTTGTGCATGGGAAGTTACACCTAACTTGCTTTCAGTGCAAAATCATACCCTTTAATGACAAGGTGCAAGGAGTGTACCATTTTGCTGGAAAAACTATTCCAATAATACCAACAAAGACAATTTACAAAAGACAAATTAAAGGGTTATTTCCAAAAATACTTTGAGTGAAACATTCAAAACAAAACCCCAACCAAACAGCATTTTGTATATGTGTAACTGACAGTAAAAACCCAAGCTGTATTGCAGAACACAGCATTTGTTGATTGAGTTATTAGAAGCAGATTAGAGGTCCTGAAAGATATGAGGCTTTATAAAATGATAATAAAAAAAGATTCTTATATAAAGACTGTTTCTGGTTATGTCACTATGTGCTGCTTTACTTCATTACAGTAATTTCTATCAGTAAAACCTACACAGAAAGTATGTTAGAAAGGGACGGTTTGACATTTATTTCCACAGGGAATACAACTGCCCAAGGTGAAGGCGAGACAGAGCCAAACCATCCTGCATGCAGCAATCTAAACATAGGAAAGCAAAAGCATGAACATCTCAGGGCTCATTCTGTGAAGCGGGTGTAGCAAGCATCCCCCATCACATAAGTAATTATCATGAAAAAAGTGAATTCCTTGTGAAGTTATTTATGAGGTATTTCTCAAACTGTGAGATTTTACCAATACAGATGTTTAACATATGAAAATTATGGTTTTCAAAGCACTAATAAAAATGTTTGTAATTGAACAGGGAAGTGTACTTTCTCCAAATGTATGCCATTACTGTCTGCACTAAAATGCACTCCTAACAAATGTTTTAGAGTCTCCACAGTTTTTGTATTACTTTTCAGTATCACCTACGAGGTACTTATTTAATTTAAATTAAATATCACGTCTATATTATCTTGCATGTCTGTAATGGAAAACTGACAGTATCATCAGTGGACAAGCCAAATTCTGGGCTTTAACTAAAGACATTTTAGTGGAAAAACAAACAAAAAAGCGGAAGGGTATAGGTAGGTGAATGCAAAACTGTGATTCTTCTTCAAACACACTGAAAAAGAAAGATACTCCATTTTCTAGGAAATCCCTTATGGGAGCAAAGGGGAATCTCACAGAACACTTCAAAACCAAAATCAAGACACCCACCAAGGATGATGACAGCACCTCCAATCCCACTTCTGGATCCCTCAAAATGTTATGGACTGAAGAATTTCAGTGTTAGCCATCAGGTCTAAATGCAACATCCTGGACTAATCACTGTACTAAGTGTAAGTATTCCCTGTGAGAAAGCCATACTAGAAAGAGGCACATTTGTATTCTTGACCATCATGGATCTAGCAGCACAATGGATGATATCAAAATTACTACAACATTGGAATTATGTGAATTATAACAAAGATAATGGTTAATATGGTCTATGCCCTCTGCCTTTCATGTGAAAGGATGCAAGTACTGTGTTGAAAGGCTTCTCACCACACCCTGAAGAAGTCACAAAAGATGTAGAAACACTTTAAATTTAACAACCAAATGAATGTGAATGATGGTTTTAGGTAAGCTGGGAAGATAAACGCATTCAGTGTGTATTTACTGTTTTAAGAACTCCGTGCAATAATGTCTGGACTGATACTTCTGAACACTCTCCATGATACAGAGGAAACTGATCCAGCAACGTTTATTAGGGATGCCAGGGAAGGCTTCAGGCAGGGCAGTACAGTAGTTGCTGTGCTTTTTTTTCCTGTTACAGGATTCTGTTACAATTTTCCTGAGAGGAGAACCTCAAGTGTCGTGGTTTCTACGGCAAAAATTAATTTCCTAGCTTGCAGAAAGGAGTCACTGGTGTCAAAACCCCTGAGTGACCTGCTACACCTTTGCAGCTGATGGCAGGCTGCCATTTTTCATGAGAGCAAAATGGTGCTGGCATGTGAAACTGCACAGCTCAATCATTTTTTATGGTGACCTCATACAAAGGAGTAAGATGTCACTGCAGGAAGAAAAACTGCTATGGAAGAATGAACCCTGTGTTTACAAGAACGTGCTCTTTTATAGAAATGTTCCCTGCTAAGTATTTAGAAATGCTTCTCGTTTCCTATATCCTCTGTCTGTTCGTTCTTGGCATCCAGGACTGGCTACTCTGGCTCTGCTCACAGTCTCATCATTGTTGGTGTAAGAACCCTCTTCTAACAAGAAAATGCCATCTGAAAGGGGCTTTCTTGTGCTCTTCTGACTGATCAACTTTCCATTTGCCTTCAAATATCTGATCAAAACTTCTTTCCTCCTTTCCTTTTGACTTTTAGTTACATTCTTTGCTGTCATCAATGAAAGAATAATTTACATAATGAACTGCTAAAGTATTCTGAATTTCAGTATTATTATGCCTAACAGTAATGGGCTGCCTGGGACTTTTTATAACCTTTAGCCTTCTGGCTCCCTATGTCCCCTTTCACATATATGAGATCTTCAGATCTTCAAGATGGGTCAGTGCTCAACGGGAGATGAAAAAGCCAACTATCAAACATTATCAAAAATAATCCAAATTCTTCAACTCCATTCTAATGTCTGATACACCAGCTAAGCACCACGAGCAGGGAACAAAGGTAAAGAATGAGAAGCACTACTGACAGCAAACAGTCTGTTAAAAAAGTTAGAGAAGGGCTTTTGCAGACTTCATTGTTACTTAGAAGACTGAGCAGGGCATTTGCATTTATGTAGCAATAAAGACATGTTTAGGATGACAAAATCAAATGCAGAAGTATGCCTGTCATCAATATGTGTTTTAGAAATAGCACCTACCATAAAAAACATGACCATGAAGGAAAAAAGATCTCGTTTCCCTAGCCATGCTTCAAATGTTTTTAACTGAACTTCTTCTTCATAGTTGTCTTCTGCAGAGTATTTCCACTTTCTTTTCTTGGGAAGCAAGAGGCAATATTCCAAACTTCAGCCGCAGAAATTAAAATATTTTAGAAGAGAAAAATGTAATGGTAAAACCATAAAAGGTGTTAGGAATCCCAGAAATGCATACAGTCATAGCTGCTATTTTTCATTTCTGTCTAAATTTTAGATGACATGGTTCTACTCAAAAGGAATATAAAGACCTTTGTCCTATCACGTACAAGAGGAGAAATTTTATGCAGATTCTACTGAACTCTTACGAGAGTTCATAAACTCTCACAAACCAACTAGGTTTTAACAGCACCACTCAAGTACCTCTGGCTGGGCATAAGGCTAGTAAGAATCTGGGATATCTGCTGTGATATGCCCTTAACAGGATATTTTGAACTCCTCATACAAAAGGTTCCTCAAGAAATTCTCATTCAGTAGAGAGCTCCAGCAGACCCTAAGCACACTACTGAGCCCTCTGGGTAGCTCCTGATTCCAATAAACAAACACAGAAACTGTTTAAGTGCTCTCCTGCTTGTAAGCCTGAAGCTTACAAAGGCTGATGTCCTAGTGGGATGGGTTAGATCAACAGCCTGCCTTTTTCGCTAAATGGTTAGCAACAACAGTTAAACCATCTTCTTCCCTCAGATGTGATAGCTACCTAAGGGCTCTCAATCTATGGCTAACAGGAGGCAGCACAGATTGTACAATGAATAAATTGCTCTAATCATTTAACTGCCTTTCTCAGAGGTTAATCAATTTTTTAACTGAAAACCTAATTTGTGAGTAAGGATGAGAAAAGAGTATAGGGAGAGTGTGCAATTTGAATTTTCAGCAGTGCCTGTAACAGAGCTCTTTTTTCCAGTGCACAAACATTCTTCATTTTAACATTCATGTATACATTTGTTTTTTCATTATTATTTCTAAGATGTTTGAGGTCATGTACACAGCCAGTGCAGTTCTACCAGTGCCAGAAGACCACATACCTACTCACTTGGGACTTTCCTCAGCATGAAAAAGCCTACAATGGAAAGCTGCTACAGCTAGACAGACCCACAGAGTGCTTATGGGCCGAAGGTGAGGATAATGAAGCACTGTCAAGCCAGTATCACTGCACAGTTCTGACAAAGAAGCAATAGCAGATCTTGATCTCAGTTTACCTTTACTTGCCAGGCTAAAAGATGCCAGAACAGGCAGAGATTTATGTGCACACCACATGTCCCTGATTAGCAGTTTCTCTGAAAGGGCCAGGGGAGGCAGCTGGGGCTGGTAACAGCTTCACTCATTCAATTTTAATTGACTCCTGTGTGTTTGTCATATCCCTCAGAGCTGCCTGCCTTCTGTTTCAACTTGTGCCAAAAGCTGAACTGGTCCCATTAACCACAGGGAGCAAGAAAGCAAAAAGTACCAATCAGCTACAGGTACAGAACAAAGTCTATACTGCTGCTTGAATTACATTTGAGATACAATCTGCACTGAATTTCAAGATTACAGACCAATGATCACAGTTGAATCTGCAAACCCAGTGAAATGACACTCTATTCACACAATTACAGACTAAAGTGGGCTTTTATTCAGAATCCTTTTGCTGAATTTTTACCTCCTGTATTTAGTGTCCAAAAATCCCTCACTGAAAATCCTAAGGAAATGCCTGTGTGCTTCAGTGAGATCAAGACTATACCACAAGCTGTTAACTGAACCATTACTGACATGGTGTTTAAATGGTATGCAATCAAAATACTGAAAACTAAACAAAAAACATTTGACAATATTTTATGCATTTTTTACTTTTTCTAGTGTTAACAAATGACTTAAGTGAAAGCTCAGGTCCAGCCATATATACATGATTTCTTTTGTAACTCTTTCTGAGGTACATAAAATAACTGGCTATGATAAATGGCAGACAGCATCACTGCTGAAAAAGAGGTTTATAAATCTTACCTCTGCTTTTATTTTATTGTCTCCAAAACAGAGGTGCTGTAAGTAGGCTGCAGCATTGGACTGTACTGAGGGAAATTGATGCTGTAACATCTGTATAACTTCTGGAAGCTCTGGATCTCGCCATCCAAACTCTCTGTGAGAAAACAAGCAAGAAAGACTCATCAAAAATTCTGCTGTTAGTTGCTAAAAGTGGCAATAGTTAACGAAGATGACAGACATGTCTAAGCAAAATCTTGTTATTTTTTTCCCATTATTTTCAAAGCAAACATTAAATCAAATATGAAGGTGTTTTTAATTTTAAACTGTATTTCTATGCAAAGAACGTTATATAAAGTATAATTAAATAACGGAATTACGTCTCTAACTGCTAAATAAAAATGGCTATATGAAATCTTAATACAAGAAAAAAGAGAAAACACACACTTATACCATTATTATTTCTCTATTAAAACTAAAATGTGGAGGCTAGGATCAGAAGCACAAATGGTTTGCTATGAAATACCAGTTTGTCAAAAAGTCCTTTTTATTTATTGCAATCTTTGATTTAAATTGCTACTTTATAAATAAAGCAATGACTTATTCTGGCTTTTGGTTTCTTTTCTCCAGCTATGGTACATGGTCAGTCTAAATCTGTTCTACAGCTCTGGCCCTGCAGTGGGTTGGAGCAGGAAACATCCAGGAGGTCCCTTCCAACCTCAGCCTTTCTGTGATTGGGCAATTTTACAATTATACACTTATGTATTACTTATTTGCATTACTTTTAAATCTTCATTCTTACTATTCAATCTAAAGCAGGTAGGCAAATACGAAAACTTAAGTCTTTGAACTTTTCCTTCATCCTACAAAACATGAAACAAAATTAACATCAAATGAAACAACTGAATCCAAGAGTGTTGAACAAGTCCCTGCAGGTATTCTACAGCTTCCAGAACAAAATTTAAAATCAGTCTCTTACTTCAGGTGAATTTCTGCCCTCTGTGTTTAAAGGTAAAACAATTCATGAAAATGGTTTTGGACTTTTGTGTTCCAAGATCCAGAGATGAACACAGATACTATGCAAGAGACACTTAATTCTCACATGCCTTTTCCCTAAGAGCTAATTTTTTGTGCCATATAAATATTTTTTATGTCTTCCATCTAATGCTACACCTACAAGGTTAATAGAGGGAAAGAGGGGAAAGAAGTGACTTGTAAAAAAGCTTGTAGGTTCTCTGTTGCAGTTGCTATGATCACCAAAAAGTTCATTGCCAAAAGAACTTGGAACTGTTCATCTCTAATATTTTTAAAAGACATTCCTAATCATTAGTTCCCTTTCCAAATTATAGGGGTTCTGCTGCACTGAGGACAACTGTGAGCCACTGGGGGAATTCACAGCAGCTCTGCAGTCTATTTCAAGTAGATTCAGGCATCTCACACTTTAAGTACAACAGTTCTCCAAGACCCTTCATAGATACAAGACTCATTTTGCAATAATAATGAATTACTACAGATCAGAATTACTGTCTGTTCTCTTCTCATATGGGACGTTTGTCAGATTGAGAGTTGTATCTTTATGAACATCCAGAATATGAACAGGAGATGCAAAAAACCCCCCAAAAACAACACTCAGACTTTCATCACCTATTTCTCTTCTGACAAAACAGATGTTAACTCATGAATATTAAATTTCACATTAAGTGTTTAATGCAAAAAAACCCCATAAAAATATAGTAATAAATCACATATGGACCATTCCAATATATCTTTAGAGTATATAGACTGTTGAGATGTTTCTACAAAAGATGTAGCGTATGTTCAGACAGAACTGATGTTTTGCAAAGTCAGACAACAATGTAAAAGGAACAACGAAGACTACAAAATTTGGCAGCCAAAGATGGCAAGCACCACATTTTCTGTGCTACCAACTTACTGTGACTGTTACCAGGTGAAAAGGAAGTAGTTCTTTGGTTAAACACTTACTTCTGTTTAAGAATGGGTAGTACAGATCTATAAAGAAATCATAACTTGACAGAGGTGACAGACACAATGCAATTTAACGTGCTGTACTTCCTCTTATATTTGCTTTCTTACTGTTAACCATGTTAAGATTGCTAATAGGTTCTTCAAACATACTGGATCTGCCTCCTATATACATGGCTCTCAGCCAACCAAAGACATCTTAGACTTTCAAAAATTAAAAATAAGCAATGGAAACCCCTAAACCTTAGTAAACTTAGTGAATTTATTCTCATTTTCAATCCTAGACGCCAAAGCACAGGTGTTGGTTTTTGGAGAGGATACAAAATACCAGAAGAAAACAGGTTGTCTGACAAGACCACAAGGAGGAACATTAGAAATCTGTTGTTTTACATGAAACAACTATACTTCAAAATGCGGGCACTTCTATCACCAAATTCTCTCCCAAAGGAAATTTTCTCCTTCATAATATGTGTATTACTTGAACAGAAAACAACCAACCAAAAAGCCTGTTATGTGCGGTAGTACACCATGGACCTCGACAAACAGCTCAGATTCTTCTTCCTTTTGCTCTGGGATCCAGGCCAGAAGTGGCAGTGGGGGGACAAAAGGAAAAGGTGCACTTATTACAGGCATAGTTAATTGGTCTGATAAACCTGCAGTTTTGACATGGTATTTACATATGAAAACAAGGCTGTGCGTACTTTTCCCCTCTGATCTCCCAACAGAAACGTTAGCAAATAAATGATGCACGAATACTTGTTGGACAAGTATGCATCATTGGACAAGTATGGTTGTGTACACGTTGGACATAAGTAGAAAATTAATTCAGAAAAGAAACCCTTAGCACTGAATACTGAGTTTATCATGTAACCAGTTTTAGGAGAGATAATGAATAAAGCAGGAAAAGAAGTTTAAAATTTTAGCCCCAGTATGCACTGTCATTTCAAGCAGATGGTCTCTAAGATGACTATATTTTTAGTAGTTTCTAAATGAAATACAGTAGCTATATAAAACAAACAAAAACTTCTGTCAACAGCTAAGGCTGCCTGAATAATTGCGGTAACTTTAGCAGCCTTCAAGGCAAGAAGGACCAGTTTCCAGCGGTTGAAGTTTTTAATTTGTTATATACTTTGTATATATGTATCTACAAATATATATATATTTGTTATATATGCCACTCTTATAGGTGGCAAAAGAAAAGTGAGCTAGAGAAAGAGAGTTTTGGGTTTTTTAGGAACAGCAAGCCTGAGGCTCCACTAACATTTACTTGAAAATTTAACTTATTTTTTGAATTTGACTTCATTATGAAAAGAAAGAAGTCAGCTGGCAGAGGTCTTGAGAATGGTGGAGGGCTGCAATTTCTTGAAGACTAAGGTATAAAACTATCTGGAACATTTTGCACAAATGTGAGGGAACTTTCAGGCCATGGCTCCAAGCATGCCTATGTGACAGAAAATGCATATCAAAATACAAAGCCAAACAAGTAGTAAGAGAAAAAAACTAGTAGAGAAGGAACGTATGTTGTGGAAGTCTGAAGGCTGAAATAAACTGTGCTGAATGCTAGAAAGGTAATTTAAGTTAACAAAATGCCTTCTACTGGCTATAAACAAAAAGCAGTAGTAGGTTCGGCAGTTCATGAAGATAAGGGTCAGAATAAAAGTGAGAAAATCAAATCTACCTCCATTTCTGTGAACCATCTGATACTGTGCCACATGGAAATCAGTTAAACTGGTAACATACAAGGATCCAATCTCTAGTAAAATTATAATGTAGAATTAAGCAAAATACGAAACTAGAGTGAATATTCTAAACAAACACTAGCTAAGCCTGTGTCCTTTATTTACACCCCCATGCTCAGCAAATCTGAATGAGGTGACCCACACAGATGGTGAAAGAGGCCAGAAGGCTAGAGTAAATCAGAGGAGGTGCATGGCATGTGATTCTGAGAATGCTAACAAAGTGTCTGTGCAGCTGATCGAAAAATGAAGATAAGCTAGCATCCGTATGTGCAAGACCTTCTGCTATTGCCTACGTTTCCCTTATACCAACACTAAGCTGTCCAGTGAAAGGCTTCTGGTGGTGTGGGTTTTTCAACAAGAGAATCACAAACGTGCAAGAACTTCACAGCTTTGGCTATAAATCAGCATTTGCCATGTACTCTAAATATTTCAGCAGATTGTAAAAGTGCATTATTTCTAGGAATTGTTGTCATCTGAGAAGACTGACCAAAGCATGCCAAGTTGTTAAACCTTGTTTCTTTGATGGACTGATCTGATTTTGAATGCTGCAGAAGGTTTTAGCTTGAAGTGGTGACTAAAGCAGACTACAGCAGGCTACTGATCCAGGGACGGAAGAGGAACCAAAGGGGAACACTAAGTTAAATGTAAATTGGCAGTACGTATGCCTAGACTATCAGAAGAAGCTGCATTTTACCCCTGAACAACTGAAGAAAATCATCAAGGTGCTGGACACAAAACACAACTCTGAAATACAGCAGCAGAAGCAGTAGCACCAAGAGACTGACTTTGGTACAGCAAGTATTGCATCAAAACCAAATCCTGCTCCTGCCATCACATCACATACACGTCAGAAAGCAATAGAGATGCGGACTTAGAAGAGATTGTTAGTAACATGGCAGAGTGCAGCAGCTATGAAGGATCACTTTTAAAGGTGCTGCTGAACACAGAGTATGTGCTGCATCTGAATATTTGCTTGAATTATGTCGGAATTTTTTTCTTCTGCTACTTCAAATGCTGATGACACACAGAAAACACAAAATTCCTGTTACATCTGTATCTGCACTGATTTTATAAAGGCTACAAAAGAAGTTTCGAAAACACAGGTCTCCAGTCAGTAACCAAGGATACAGATCGCTTCTACACAGCATTGGAGAAGCAGGCATGGTGGCCCTGTCTACTCTCCATCCAGTGGTCACAGTGAATGAGACTTTGGAGTTTTATTTCTGATTTCTATTACCAGAACAGAACATTCAAATCCTCAAGCAGCTGACATAGGCAAGCACTGACACCCAGAGCTTCTTCCATCTCAGGAACATTCCCCAGCGGAAGTGCTGTGAAGATACCTGCTATAAAGACCCGTAGGCTTGACAAGTGCTGAACTACAACCAAGCATTTATCTAAGACAGAGAATGCACAATTTTTAGATATATTCATT